CCTCCCGCACGTGCCCCAACCAGGGCTGGGGATAGAGCCTGCAATGGAGGTACATGCCCTGACCAGAATCAAACCCAGGACCCTTCAGTCCACAGTCCAATGCTCTATCCACTGAGCCAAAACAGCTAGGGCCCAAAACATTTTTAATAGTAAACATTGAAGCTAATATGAGCTATACAGGCATTTAATAAATATTAATAAAAATAAGATCATTATTTTTCAGTTCAGGGTCTCTAGTGGCTGGAGCCTATGCAGGCAGCTCAGGACGCAAGGTGGACTCAGCCCTGGACAGGACACCATTCCATTGCAGGGTGAAGACAAAGGGATTTCCACTAGTCTCCTGAAAAAAAAAATCGGGGTTCTATCAGAAGGAAAGAAAGGGGAGGTGGGTGTCAGTGGGCAACAGCCAGTGACCACTATGAATGCCTTCTTGTGAGAATTTGGCAAGAGTAATATGGGAGGGATTAGGTTTGAATCCAATATCTTGACTCTCACAACCCCCAAAGGACAAATCTGCTAATGATTGCTTTACACAGGAAATGCTCCCTGGTTTCTCTCTAAATCTGTGCCTGTTGAAATGACTTTTCAAGTCCTCTGTTTGTATAAGGGAAGGAGGTTAGCTGGCAAAGGTCTCAGTTGTCCCAACAGTCTCATTTCTAATCACCAACACGTGACATGGGCCATCAGGGCAGTAGGTCTTAATCACAGCCTGCATTCCTAATCCTTAAATAGACAGGGTTTCTTAAAGAATTGAACAAGTCATGTTTCCTGTCCAAGCCTTTCCTATAGCATTAGGCGGTGAGACTAGCAGTTCTTTGAAGATCCTGCCAGCTCTAACATTCTACATACTTATGAATGTGCAGAAAATCTAAATGTGCAAGTGGGCGTCCCTGCTCCTAAAGGTGTTATCTATTTACCTATTTATTTATTTTTCGATTACAGTTTGCATTTAACACTATTTTGTATTAGTTCCAGGGATTCAGCACAGCAGGCAGACATTTATATACTTTACAAGCGTTCCCTCCAATAATTCAAGTGCCCACTTGGCACCATAGGCAGTTATTACAATATTGTTGACTGTACTGTATTCCCTCTGCTGTACTTTACATCTCTGGGCCTATTTTGTAACTGCCAATTAGTACTTCTTACGGCGTTATCACTTAAACCCTCCAGGCTGAGTCAGATGTTTCCTCAGTACTGGACTCCCCACAGCGTTGGTCTTTATCCCTTTCAAAGAACGGTTAAAGACATGCCCTTTCTTAGAGTCAGGCTGCCCAGATTCAAGTTTTATCTCAGCCCTTATTAGCGAAAGGACTCAAGCAAATTATTTAACCTCACTAAATCTTGCCTGCATAATGGGGATCTTTAAGGTATGCTGGGAGGTATATAAAGCTCTCACTTTAGCTTAGTGCCTGGAACACAAGTAAAAGCTTAATAAATGTTGACTGCTGTAATTTTCATCATTGTGAGTTCCTCCAAAGAGCTGTATCTTCTGCATATTAGTATCCTCAGTGCTTAATAAATAATCAGGGCTCAATGAGAGTTTGACCAACGCAGGGGTGACGTAATGGCCAGTGTTCCACTAGAATTCAGTGGCTCCAGGAAATCAACCATTCGCGGTTCCTGCAGGCCAACAGCAGCTCATTCTCCTTGCAACCTGCAGTGGCGTCTCCTCCCCAACACCCTGATGGGACCAAATCACTTCTGTGTCATCCCTTCTGCAGAGCATGATTTTGGAGGAGAAGCTGCCTATCAATGTCTAATAGATGGCTTCAGGTAGGCTGATCACCCCCATCTCCATCTCCCCTCTCCCAAGCCACTCCATGCAAAACAAGAATACTCTTCAATGGTGTTTCCGTCTGTTTTAAAGTATGAATAAAACCCTCTTTAGAAAACTTTGTGTTCTTAATGATAGGAAACATTTAAGTTTTTAAGAAGTGCTCCATTATGAAAATGTAGTTTTAATAGGAGTCCCCTACCACCTTCTTCTCCTACCCATGACTATTTCATATCATAATGCAGTCCCGAAATCCTTCCTATTGATTTCTGGAGCAGGCTCAGCCAGTTGCCTCCTTCCCCACCTACAAGATTGTTCCAGAGCCTAATTATTAAGTAAGAGATGAATGATTTAAATGTAACTGGTGGTAGAAGTAACGAATTGACTCAAAACCAATAAGGTAATAGTCCTTGTGATTATGGGGGAAATGAACTTGAACTTTAGTGACAGGTTTGCCCCAGAAATCTCAGATGGTTCACCAGCCATCCACCTCCAGGGGCATTCAGAGGTCAGATGTCAGACTTTGACTTTAATCGTTTAAATCCTGAAGCTTGGCAATGAGTTCGCCATACACTGAATTTTCTTGGGATGTTGGTGTCCAAGTAGATGCTGCTGCTCAGTGTCTCTCTGGGCCACCGTAGGCATCAGCAGAAGGAGTCTCTGTCAGCTGGAGAAGTGGCAATAAACAAGGCAAACCAGGGGGGAAACTATTAGAAGTATTACAATCATATTTATAGGTACAAATGGGTCCTCTAATAGAACACAAAATTATATTTTTTTAGGAAGTGGCAGTGTAAGCTTTGAAAATTCAGAATCTTTGAAAATACTTTATAGCAATATATTTTTATTAATTTTAAAGTGTTATCAAGTCAGTTTCTTGTACAGATTCTAATTTCTTAAAATACCCCATTAATGATCCTGAAGAATGTATATAATCAGTACTCTATATCTCCCCCAAAGTTATTAGAAGACTGTGTCAGACACCACCAGGAATGAGAAAAAAATAAAAAATAAGCCAGTAATGGGATTTCAATCAGAGCATGAACGCAATCTTTTTCTCTAGGCAGGATCTACAATAAAAGGTAAAAGAAAACATGGTATTGAAACAAACCACCCTGTTAGAGATGCAATTTTGTTTCATAGAGGAAGGGATGTCATACAAGATAAGGACTTATTAAGAAGGCTGGCTCCTCAGACATGCATAAAGGAGAACAAATTGATAATATCTTTAGACTTTCATAAAGCTTTCAGCAAGTTCACATCCCAATGAGTCATCCTGCGATTGGCAGAGATCATCCTCAGGGATCCAGAATGACTTTGCAGGGATGCAAGTTCAACCAGCTTACTCCTGTTTGCTGCCTTCAATGGCTCCCATTGCTGTCAGAATAGTCTGAACTTCTTAACTGTGATAGGGCCTTATGATCTGGTTCTGGTTACCTCCCTCAGTACATGTCACTTTGCTAGAAGCTCAGCATTTGAACCACTTTCTTATGTTTGAGAATTCCTTACCTGCCTCACATTTTTTTTTTAAATATATTTTATTGATTTTTTTACAGAGAGGAAGGGAGAGAGATAGAGAGTTAGAAACATCGATGAGAGAGAAACACCGATCAGCTGCCTCCTGCACATCCCCCACTGGGGAAGTGCCCGCAACCCAGGTACATGCCCTTGACCGGAATCGAACCCGGGACCTTTTAGTCCGCAGGCTGACGCTCTATCCACCGAGCCAAACCGGTTTCGGCACCTGCCTCACATTTTAGAACTAAATATGCCATGTGCTTGCTTTTTCAGCCTCCCTTGCAGCTAGCACTCAGGCACATGACCTAGGCTTGGCCAATCATATTCTCCTGGACTCAGGAGCAGGTGATGCGAAGATGAGTTCTTGACCCAACAGAGGCAGGGTAACCAGTGCGGGATCCTGTGCCCAGTGCCCAAAGCTAGCAGCATCAGTCAGACACATAGCAGCACTTACTGCTCAGATGAGATAGCCATTGCTGTTCTCACCAGACCACCTCTGGGTGTGATATGGGTCATTGTTTGTGATTTAAAAAATCTTTTAAAATTAAACTCTTAAGAACATATTGCTCAATAATTCTCAATGTTAAAAAAATATTTTAAAAATTCTGACTATGCCTCTCTGGGTACTGTTTTTCTTTCAAAGCTTAGGCATCAAAGATATACTGTAAATGTTTTTTCTAATACTAAGGTGTACTAACATAACTCCAGATGAAAGAAGACTGGTATGATCAAGGACTAATATCTTTATCTTGTTTATGCCTTAAAATATTTAAGAAAAAAGACATATTACATCAGAAAAAACTGGGCAGTGGATTTGAGCAAGCAAATAACAAATGTAAATGAACAAAAATGTTTTAAAAAAGTGAGGCCTCAATAATAAAATGCAATTAAAATTTTCATCAATCAGGTTTAAAATAATGTAAATACTCGCTGAGATCTTAATGTGTGCTTCTATTCTAAATACTTTCAATAACTCACTAATGAGTTCAATAACAATGTAATTATTATTCCTATATTGTTTTAAAGATAAGGAAACTGAGACAAGAATTCAGATACTTTCCAGCTCAGCAGGGATACAAAGCCAAGGAGATAAGGAGGGGGGACTGAAAAGTTCCAACCCTCTAACCACAGGGCTGGTTCTCCTGGCAACCTGCCCTCATCCTCAGGTAGGGTCCGAAAGTCACCTAATTAACATAAGTTATCTTTATCTCTTCACTTAGGAAATCCCAAGGGTTTTAGAAGCTCCATGCCAGAAACAGGGACAAAAACAAAATATATATATTTATTATCAATCACAGTATCACAGGATTTGGCTTTAATCTGAAGCTATAACTATCTCCTGATCATTTTGAGTTCTTGTACCTGGGAAAAAGTAGACCAAAAAAAACCCAACACACACCACCACAGTTTTCAGAGTTGCTGTTACACAATGAGAGCAGGAGGGGATATGCCTGAACCCAGGGGATTCACTAGTGCATCTTGGTGCTTCCATGTTCAGTGATAACTATCAACAGGCAACTGCTTCAACAATGGCCTGATGATGCTAAAGTAATTACTGTTCTGGCTTATAGTAGGCATGTATTTGTTGAATGAGTAAATGAATGAGCGTGCATCTGTTTCTCCATTAAACTATGAATGCTCCCAAAGTTCTACAATGTTCGGCAAACGTTTGTTGAATCAAGGTAACATTAAGAATGAGAAACTATTTCATGATTAATAGATTTATTAAACAACAATATATATACTGGTAGTCGTCATTGTCAGCCTTAATATGAGATGTTGTATTTTCTGTCCAATTTTCCTTCCTTGATAAGTTTTTCTTTTCTATCCTGAGTAAACAGAAAAAACACACAAAAATAAACAACAAGCAAACATTAAGAACAATGCATTCTGGCACAACTCATGATACAATTCTAAAAAACAGGAATGAAATGCTCCAAACCTAATTCCACCTCCCTCCTTTTAAAACCTATGGAGCATGAGTGAGGAAAGAGTAGTCTGAAAAAAATAAAGGAACAATAAGAAACTACTGCTACTGGAAAATATCTTACCCACATTTTAGTAAGTAAAATTGTATTACTCCACTAAAAAGCATATATCGTAAGCAAAATGCAATTACCTGCTGGGTAAGTGTGGCCTACCTTCCTGTTAAGGAATATTTATCAGATAATCAAAAAGATATACACTCTAACAGGAGAGTGGATTGGCTGGTTTAAGGCAGAGCTAGATAGGTGAGCACCAGTCTAGATGGCAATGTGAGGCCTAGAAACTGGGACAGGGGTTCCAGCATTAGAGTGGTCTAGTGTCCGAGATAAGCCTGGCTTTCTCTGCAATCATATACCCAAGCCTCTGATGGCAGTGATACCCAGCACAGGCTGCTTTTGCTGTCTGGTGTTAGGGTATTAATAAGTTTTAATGTTAATTTGAAAAGTATAACCAATATAACTAGAATTCACACAAATAGGGAACACACTAAATGATTTATGTATGTTGCTAATACTTAACCCAAAAAAATCTCTTTGTAAAACAAATGAATTAAGAAAACTAAATACAAAAATTTGCAAAGATATCTAAAGGTTAGTCAGAATAAGTTTAACTTCTACACATCTTCTAATGGGAAAAAAAAGACATTAAACTTCTTAAAAGTTATTTTTGTATTTTCTTGTGTATTACTCACAGTATAATTTCCTTACATCATCTAAAATATACCAGGAAAACTCTTCCATGAGTAAATTCCAGTCTTAGAAATTTCAATTGACCAATTTATTACTTTAAACTCAAGAGCAACTATTATACCTGAAAGACCCAAAGATTAGTGATTTTGAACAAAGCATATTTCTATGAGTTGAAATGATAAAGAAATAAAACCAAACATATAACTCAATTATGTTTTATCTTGTGCTGGAAAAGAATAAAGATAAAAGAACACAAAAACTAAACCTCAGGTTCTGATACTTACTCTGTCAGTTTTAAAAACGTAATACCAGAAGATGAGGGGCCCAATTCCAACCACAGCTCCTAGGAGTGAGTTCTTGGGAGTGGGTCTGAAATTGGGATAGACATTTGCTGTTCTTGCGTAGGTCCAACGAGCCAAGGCAGGATCTTCCTAGAATTAGCAACAAAAAGTTACAGCAACGTAAGCAGGGCCACACTAGGAAACAACCTCATCAGGACTTTTCTGGAGGAGCATAGGAGATGCTTTCCCTTTGTTCTTTCCTACAGTTAAGGGTACATTCTGAATATTCCTAAATAGCTTCAGGTAAGATCTTTTATTTCTATTGGCTGAATAATTCTCTGATGATCGTGTTCAAATCCTTCAAAATTTAAAAGCACTTTATAACAACCTCCAGGTTTCTACTTACTTAAGATTTAAGAATCCTCATCTTTTTCTTTTCTTGTTTTTAAATATATATTTATTGATTTCAGAAAGGAAAGGAGAGGGAGAGAGAGAAACATCAACGACAACAGAATCATTGATTAGCTGCCTTCTGCACGTCCACACTGGGGATCGAGCCCATAACGCAGGCATATGCACTGACTGGGAATTAAACCGTGACCTCCTGGTTCATAGGTAGATGATGCTCAACCACTGAGCCACACCAGATGGGCAAGAATCCTAATCTTTTTAAAGCTGTCAGAAAAGTTACTTTTTCTCTTTGATCATTTTTATCTATTCTATTTTGGATTGTTTTAGCATCATCATCATCTTTCTTGAAGTGTGACCAACAGATCCACATAGTATTCCCAATGATGACCAATAGATTTCATATGCTGTCATGCTCTGTACTTTGTTACCAACCCTTTATAATGTTACCCCCACATTGGTCTTTCCAGGCTACAAGTTGCAGGAAGGTGAAGACTGAGATAGGCTAACTATGAGCTTTATATTACTTACACTATTAAAATAGTTTTGTAGCAAGGACAAGGCTGTTGTTAAAAAAATTACTGTCTTTCTTAAGAAAAATTAATTGTCCATTTCAATATGTTTATACTAGAATAACTATGTACCCCAAATTCATAATTAAATTTAATTAGCTATATCCTCAAAAGATTTTACAAAATTATTCACTCCAGTTAATTGATTGATAAAAATAAGAAAATGAAACGAGCTTTAAAATCTTAATATTAAGCAGTGCCCTGACCGGTTTGGCTCAGTGGATAGAGCGTCAGCCTGAGGACTGAAGGGTCCCAGGTTCGATTCCGGTCAAGGGTATGTACCTTGGTTGCGGGCACATCCCCAATAGGGGGTGTGCAGGAGGCAGCTGATCGATGTTTCTAACTCTCTATCCCTCTCCTTTCCTCTCTGTAAAAAATCAATAAAATATTTAAAAAAAACAAAACTAAGCAGTAAGGAGAACATTCAAGGTCCTAATCAATACCAAGAAGTCATAATTGGTAGGACTAAATTACTTAAACATTATCTTTCACAGTAACATTTTATAGCAAACTGTTTGCAGAAACAGCAAAAGTGAAGACATAATATATAAATTGCAGGGGAAGTTTGAGCTCAGTACATCTATTCTTTTACCTATCCCTTTTGCTATTAATGTATTTGAATGACTCTCCCATGAATTATCAAATGCCAGTCACCTCTCTACACTCTGATATGTGACAGATCTGCCTTCTAGAAACACATTTCATTTCAGAAAAAGGAAATACCCCATGACCATAGTTCATTGAGCCCTATACTGTTGTTAAGAGATGTTCCAATACACACAACATGGGGGACAGTCTCCTTTAACACCACTCCACATCTGGACTACCAGTAGCATGTGACATGGTGAACAATCCTTCCTAAAATCATGGGTTTCCATGACATACACCAGCTTGTTTTTCCTCCGTTCTGATCATTCCCTTTTAGTCTCTTTTGCTCTTCTTCCTTACTCGCCAATCCTATATAATAAAAAGCTAATATGAAAATAGACCAAATGGTGGAACAACCAAACAACTGGTCACTATGATGTGCGCTGACCACCAGGGAGCGCATGCGGAACATGGTGTGCATTGGCTGCAATGGGATGGTGAAGCAGGTGAGCGGGGGCACCAGTCAAAGGCAGGGCGCTGGTTGCTGTCATCAGGGTAAGTCTCTGGTGGTTACTGAAAGTTCTTTGCTCCCGTGCACCGTGGTCCTGCCCGGCCCATGCTGGTGCCACCCCACTTACACCTGCTGTCAGTGTCCAGTGCTGGTGCTCAACATTGTTAGTGGGTACAAGTGGCAGCTGCCAGTCCCGATCGCCCCTGAGGGCTTTTCCACCTCCCCCTGCTCCTGAGGGGTGATTGGGGCAGCAGCTGCCGCTCGCACCTGCTGATGGCGCAGCCCTGCTCACACTCGCTGCTAGTGCAGGCCCAAATCGCTCCACATCATCAGTAGGTATGAGCAGCGGGAAGAGGGCTGCTGACAGGGAGAGGCTGGGCAGGGGTGCAGAGGATGGGCCGAGACCTGCCCCTGTGCCCATCGCAGCCTCATGGCCCACAGTTCCTATCAAGATACACGAATTCGTGCACTGAGCCCCTAGTCTCTTAATATTGGCCCTCAGAATTTCTTGGCCGTTCCTCTTTACATTCACTCTATTGGTGATCTCCTCCAGTCACATGGCTTTTAACATCCATCTGTAGGCTGATGACTTGAGAAATTATACCTGTAGCCCTTGATCTCTACCCTAAACTCCAGACATAATATCCAACTACCATGCTGTCTAACAGACATGTCAAATGTGATGTCTCATCCCAAAGTGATTTCCCAGCGTTCCACTCCACCTCTATCCCTGCTCCTCACATTCTTCTCTATCTTGGTAAAAAGCAAGTTCATTCTTCCCATCAGCTAGGTCAAAAACCTTGGAGTCATCCTTGACCCCTCTCTATCTCTTACACTTTCCATCCAATTTGCCAATGACTTACAAGGCCTGGTCTGATCTAGACCAGGTATCCTTCTGACCTCATTTCTTCCTACTCTGCCCTCATCTTTCTCCATGTTAGCCACAATGACCTCTTCAGAATGTTTGCAATTAAGTAAGTGTAGGGCACGGGTATAGGGTTAAGCCTCGAACCCATGACCCTGGGATTAAGAGTCCCATGCTCTACCGACTGAGCTGGCCCAGCACATGTGGTGCCCAACACGGGGCCTGAGTTCAAGGGAACTACAGTTGTCACGTGAAAGGACGCTCCAGTGAAGCACGTGCAGAAAACAAAAGGGAAGGTAAAGAGCGAAGTTTAGTGATATAACTAGGTGTAAAACATGGGAAATTCAGGATGGCAGGAAAAGAATTTATATGTATCCATGCTTAGGCACAGGGTTGTTCTGTGAGGTATCAACAGCTTTTCGAATTGTTCGATTTTGTAAGTAAAACCTGTCCATGTTTTCCTGAGGAAGGAAAAGTAAATGTAGAGACATGGGAGAAGGTAGAAAAACAACTTAGAGATCGTTATATAGTTGAAGGTCCAGGGAGAATTCCTCTCTCTACTTTCAGTCTGTGGTCCCTGATTTGGGACTCCCTAGAGCCCACTCCTGAAAGGGAATGGATGAATGTGGCCGGGAACTAAGATGGAGAGTGGAAGGTTACCAGAGGCTTAATATTGTTGCAAAGGTTTGCCTCTTACCTGGAGACTACTTATTATGGAAATATTTTATTCACAGTTGTGCTGACATTGGACCAGCCTATGTTCAAGGAGCAGTACTAGCTGCCTCATTAAAGGAGATGTTGTTCACTGGTCAGCAGAAAAGGAAAGGGGGCTGCTTTAACTGTGGCAAAGTAGGGCATTTTGCGAGAGGATAGGGCAAATCTGCTCCAAGACTGATGTTGATGATAATCCAATGCCCCCTAGGCAGGGCCCCACCAAACAGTAGGGGCCTGATCCTTAACCCCACTGCAGCCTTTCCAGTCGGCTCAGAAAATCTTTATCATTCCACCCCGGGAAGCGCAGGATTGGCAAGTTCTTCCTGGGGTGACAGATCAGGACTCAGGCAATAACGAAAAGCGCCAATCCTATTCTTAAAATGCAACTATAAAAACAAAACAAAAAAAAGGGGGGGAGAAGGATGTTATGTGTTAAACTTTTTGAACTGCAATGCAGAGGGTTGTACAGCAGCTGAAAGGCATCGCTCTTACCTGGAGACTACTTATTATGGAAATATTTTATTCACAGTTGTGCTGACATTGGACCAGCCTATGTTCAAGGAGCAGTACTAGCTGCCTCATTAAAGGAGATGTTGTTCACTGGTCAGCAGAAAAGGAAAGGGGGCTGCTTTAACTGTGGCAAAGTAGGGCATTTTGCGAGAGGAAAGCATAGGGCAAATGAATGCTGCTCCAAGACTGATGTTGATGATAATCCAATGCCCCCTAGGCAGGGCCCCACCAAACAGTAGGGGCCTGATCCTTAACCCCACTGCAGCCTTTCCAGTCGGCTCAGAAAATCTTTATCATTCCACCCCGGGAAGCGCAGGATTGGCAAGTTCTTCCTGGGGTGACAGATCAGGACTCAGGCAATAACGAAAAGCGCCAATCCTATTCTTAAAATGCAACTATAAAAACAAAACAAAAAAAAGGGGGGGAGAAGGATGTTATGTGTTAAACTTTTTGAACTGCAATGCAGAGGGTTGTACAGCAGCTGAAAGGCATCAGGCCTCCTGTACAATAGCCTCTGCCGACTCAGCCTCAGGCCTCCTACAATAGCCTCTGCAGGGTTAGCCCAGTGGAAGTATGCACAAACCAGATAAGAGTTTTACCAGATCTAGTAATGATGTGGGGAAGAGGTTGTGTTTTGTATCTTTCCAGAAGGAGCAGTGCAGCCAATTTGGGTGCCAGAGCATTACATGCGTCACCACAACGGACCCAGAGAAGCTCCTTGTCCCTTCGTTCAAAAGACTGAGAGTTGCCCCGATGACAGCAAAGCGGAAAAAAGAAGAAAAGGAAGGCTACGCAAGGGACTCAAGTGCCAACATTGGATCAGCTGAATAAGTTAACAACCGAGGCCCAGCACATGATAGAAAAGCAAGGAGTGGAAGCTATTCCTTCAACCATGTTGCTGGCATTGGTTAGCTGCCAGTCCTCTGTAAAGTCTTGCACAGCCAAGTCCAAGGACTCTGAGTAAATCAGCAAAAGGAACTTTCATTTAGTAGAAAAATGTTACTCTAGTTTGATTGCTCACTTATTGCTGGGTTGCACTGGCATTGTTTTGTTATTCTTACTAGTTTTAAAAGGTTAACACATTGGCATTGTTTTGTTAATAGCCAGAGTTTTGTTCTTGATGCTTAAGTTTTACTTTCATTATAGTAGCTTAAAAATAAAAAAAGAGTGAGATGTAGGGTACGGCTATAGGGTTAAGCCTTGAATTGACCTGTTGGCAAAGCCACAAACAAGTCCCAGCTTAGAGGGCACAGTCCTCTTGCATAATTAGGCTTGACCTTATGATGCTCCCTAGATCTTACCTGGGAAGCTAATGGGCTGAGAGAGATGTAGCAAGTGCTGCCAAAGCAAGTGAAACTCACCATAACATTGTAACTATGGTGACCACTACCTTGTTTATCTACGGCTATAAAATAAAGGCTCAGCTTGTTGTCTGGATCTCTCTCTGTGGCCTCAACCAGGCACAGGAGATCCACCTAGAATTTAGGTCCTAGACCCAGCTTATTCTCTCTGTCTTTTCTACATCCTTCGCTACCCCCCCGCCCCCCTCAAGCTCACTGAACCCTTGGCTATGCTGGCATAGCACAATAAGCATACTACTATCTAAGGACTATTGTACTTGCTGTCCCCTCTGCCTAAAATGCTATTTTCTCAGCTCCCTCACCTCTCATCTTTCAGATCTTCACTCAAATGTCACTTTATAAGCAAGGCCTTCCCTGGGCCTATCTAAAATTGCAGCTGCTCTCCCTTCCTACACACACTCCTAATCCCCTTCCTTGCTTTACCTTTTTTAACATGATCACTATCTAATGTGCTAAAGGATTCATTTTTTAACTTACTACCTGTCTCCCCCACTAGAAAGAAAGCTCTATACCAGCAATGGCAAACCTTTTGAGCTCGGCGTGTCAGCATTTTGAAAAACCCTAACTTAACTCTGGTGCCATGTCACATATAGAAATTTTTTGATATTTGCAACCATAGTAAAACAAAGATTTATATTTTTAATATTTATTTTATATATTTAAATGCCATTTAACAAAGAAAAATCAACCAAAAAAATGAGTTCGCGTGTCACCTGACACGCATGTCATAGGTTCGCCATCACTGCTCTATACAGACAGGGGTCTCTGCCTGTTTTGTTCTTTACTGTTACCACAACATCTAAAACAGGGCCTGGCCTGTAATAGATCCTGAGTACTTATTTATTCACTAAGTCAATCATTCTTAAAGATTAAGCAAGTAATTTCCATGTATTGATCAGTAGATGATAAAGTGTGAGACACTCAATGAACAGAACAACTAATGAGGCAGGTATTATTACCTCTGTTCTACATGACAAAATTGAAATTGCCCTAGGTCACACAACTGAAAAAGAGAAACTCTGTGGAGCTTAAACCTCAACTCTGGTTCAAGTCCTTACCGTTTTTAACTACATCATACTATCTGGCACATCACACCTAACTGTGTATGTATATAGTAAATGTCTCTCTCTGCACCTTCTTCACAAATAAACAGGTTTGGGCAAGAGATGATACAGCCAACTGGTGCAGCAGATGCTCTGGGTTACTTAGACCAAAGTTCAAATTCTGCTCAAACACTTGCTAAGAGTATCTATACTAATAAAAGGGTAATATGCTGATTATGGCAGACGTCCTTCCAGACAAAGCCGCAGTGGCTGCGAAGGGCCCAGGCTCAGGCTGGCAGTGGCAGCAGCAGTGGGGTAATGGGGACGGCGCCTTCCCCTGATGCACCAGGTTGCCTCCCACAGAGGGAGGCCAGACTGAGGCTTGGGCCAGGCCAAGGCAGAGGTGGTTAGAGGCGATCAGGCCAGCAGGGGGGCAAGGTGAGGGCGATGAGGCCAGCAGGCAGAGGCAGTTAGAGTTGATCAGGCAGGCAGGCAGAGGGGTTAGGGGCAATCAGGCAGGCAGGCGGGCAGGCAAGCGGTTAGGAGCCAGTGGTCCCGGATTGGGAGAGGGATGTCTGACTGCTGGTTTAGGCCCGATCCCTGTAAACTGGCAGTCAAATACCCCCGAAGGGTCCCAGATTGGAGAGGGTGCAGGCCCGGCTGAGGGAGCCGCGCCCCCCTCCCCCCATACACACACACACACACATGAATTTTGTGCACCGGGCCTCTAGTCACTCTATAAACCACTTGTCCTTCCCATGTTGTCTTCTCTTCAGTAAAACAAGGATAGTAATAGAGCTTAACTCTCTAAATAGTTGTGATATTTGAATAATATTCAGGAAAGTTTAGATAGTCTCTGAGACAATGCAAATTTCCTTCAATTCTCACAACTTCCAAAAATTCCTACAGAATACCAATACAACTGTTGGAAAAAATATTTTTTAAAAACACATTTGATATCATATTTCAGCTCTTGTACAGAAAATTACCAAAAAGCACCCCTGTTAAATAATAATAACTATCAGTTTGATGGGCATATATTATGTACCTCATTTAATCTCACACTGACTCTATAAAAAAGTTAATACCATTCCTATGAAGATCAGAAAACAAAGGTTCAGAATGGTTAGGCAAATTTCCCAAGGTCATACATGGGGCAAAAATGGGTTTCAGTTGTTCTTATGGAAGATGATACAATAATACATAGGCCCCGACTGGGTAACTCCCCCGGACCCCCTCACCTCCATACATCAAGGATGTAGGTTGGGACCCCTCTTAGGGCACATACAAGAATCAATCAATGAATGCATAAATAAGTGGAACAACAAATCGATGTTCCTCTCTCTCTAAAAATCAATAAATAAAAATTAAAAAACAAAAATAATAATAAAGAATAAACTTGTGTTTTGCGTGCTCACAACAGTAAACCTACTTTTGCCCCACCCTGTAGTTTGCTAATACTTTGTGCCTTGGAGTCTGACTCCAAAGCCCAAAGTTTCAACAAGCCACAGGGTCTTCGGGTCTTTAAAAATATAAAGTCGCCCTGACAGGTTTGGCTCAGTGAATAGAGTGTCGGCCTGCAGACTGAAGGGTCCCGGGTTTGATTCCTGTCAAGGGCATGTACCTTGGTTGCGGCACGTCCCCAGTTGGGGATGTGCAGGAGGCAGCTGATCGATGTTTCTCTCTCATCGATGTTGCGAACTCTATCCCTCACCCCCCCTCCCCCGTAAAAAATCAATAAAATATAGGCAGCGCCTTGGAGGCGGCGGCTTCGTCAGTGTCGGGACTGGAGGCTCAGTGGTGAAAGAGCAATGACAAATCACTGCAAGAGTACACGTCATAAGCAAAATACAGAGAAGTTCATGGCCAAGCAAAGAAAGGAAAAGGAGCAGAATGAGGTTGAAGAAAGAAGCTCAAGCTCTAGGTGATTGGGGAAAAATTTGTTAGAAATTTGTTTAGGGTCCAGTTGATTTGTGTATTTTTGTTATCACTAATTTGTAATTTTTGTTTCAGAAGCAAATATTCATGTTGTATAAATTTCTGATTGTCCTTGATGTAGAGAGACTGATGGGGAAAGTATGATGTGTTTGATTTTTATATCAAATCATCAGGTATGGAGAAATATCTTTTAGAAGTGTTAAAATAAATGTTCCTACTGTATATTTAAAATACAAAAACAATCAATAAAATATATAAAAAATAAAAATACAAAGTGAAGAATCACTGTATTTCCATCAGGAGAGAGCAGCATTACTATGAACTGTGAGCTGAAAGGTAGGAAACAGCTTTAAAAAAAAAAAATACACACGAACACACTTTCGAACACTCATTACAAGCCAGACACTGCATTGGCCGGTCGCGTGCTTGATCTGATTTAATCCTCCTGAGACAGGAGGGCTGCTCCCCTTTCCCAGGTAGGAAAACTGAGTGTAAGAGGCTGAGCTGAGTAACTTTCCCAAGATCATCAGGTGGGAAGCAATCCGGCCCCGCCAGGCGTGTGGGTCCCGAGCCCCTCCCTTCCCTTGACCACCCAACTCTGCCCAAGGTGAAAGGGCTGGGGGGCGGTCCCGCTCTCCGGGCCTGGACTGGGCCGAATTCTTCGGCACTGGTCCGAACGGCGGCCGCCCCTGCGAGGCCCCCAGGTGGGTCTGGGCTGCCCGGCCGGAGCGCAGCGTCCCAACTCCGGCCCGCGATTCCCGCCCAGCGACCCCCACTCACGATGAGCCCGTGGCGGCTGGGGTTGTTGTACTGGAGCAGGTACTCCCTTTTAAGCCGGGATCTTATGGCCAGCCGCTCGGCTTGCGCCTTCCGGGCTTCCGGAGATATGTCATATTCGGCTGGGTCAAGGGTAGGGGGCAAAGTGGCCAGGCGCGCCGGCTTGTACTTAGGGTGCGACATCTTGGGACCCTGGCGCGCAACTGCGCCTGCGCGGCCCCCGTCTTTCGCCTGACCTTACGCCTGCGGAAGTGCGCCTGCGCGTCAGCCGGAGGTGGTTGTTTAGCGAAGAGTTCAGCTTCCTCCCTTGCCGGCCTGGCCCGCTATAGCGATCTGCGCGTGCGCAGTGCTTTCTTCACCTAGTGACCCCGCCTCCACTCCCCTCCTCTACCCTTCTGCCCTTTCGATCTGTCGCTTGCTGGTTCTTTCTAGCAGCCTTCTCTCCTGACCTGACAGACCTTATTATGCGACGCTGAGCTGTGTGGGACCGGCCCCAACAGGAAATGGGACTGGTTGTGAAGTCCTGCTTCAATGTGGACCCAATCCAAGCAAGCTGTGTGACCTTGAGGGTTAAATGAGATAATGAATAGATGCCAAAGTGCTTTGCAGAATTTAATGACCTAACCGAAGGACAATAAGCTTTTCTCTACGTTGCAGCATTAGATCCATATAACATAGAAGAGCATTCTTCATAGGCACGAAATAAGGTTTAGTAGGAGAATGATGTTATAAGAGAAGTGTCGCCTGCCTGACTACAGTAGGCAGACAAAAATTGAATAAAGCTCATGAAGAAACAATGATGGTTAAAATACTAACACCTCGTACCTAAAATCCTTAGCACTGTTCGGGTGCTAAGAATGAGAAACACCCTTAGAGATATGAAAATATGCATAAGGGCATTGTATCTTACTGGGAAAGATGATTTAGAGAGAAGAAACCTAAAAGAAAGCCGTCTCCATCCCTATTGTCTTTCTCCCACCCCTACTATGGAAGGGGAAAAAACAATTTCAGAAAGCATGGCAGAATCTGTAGGTACCAATCAGGTATTCCTCGGGGGAAAACATGTAAACACTGTTTCCACAGCTCAGGCCCTTAAGGAACGCTGAATCAAAAGAGAGCTTCCGCTTGGATGTGCTGTCTGGGGACATGCAGGTATGTGGGGAAAATGGTTGCTAGGCAGACAAGAGACCTAGAAAGAGCTGGCACTTGAAGTGATGAAGAGCAGCATTGCTGTCAAATTTATTCAACATTTTAATACTGTTTTAAAATATTTATTAAGCCCCCTCGGCGTGAAGCATACTGCACGCTAGTCAGTCAATCTCCTAGGCTCAGTGGGGGAAATACAGAAGAAATGAAGGATGTGATGTCTGCCTTTGAGGAGCTGACAACCAGGCAGTAGAGAAAGAACAGACAGAATATGGTAATGTTTGCAAGATAGTTTAATGTCCAAATGATTAGAGAGCAAAATGGGCTCCTGAGAATGCAGGCTAGGGGAATGCAGAAAAAAAGGAATTTGAGACAAATCACTTACACTCGACTTTAAAGGAGAAAAGAGAAGTTCTGTTTTTTTCAAAGGTGTTTTCAAATATTAAAAATAAAATGAAAAGCAGGAGCAGGATGTCAATTCTAAAAATTCTAAAGGCTACATTAATAAAATTTCAAAAAAACATCTGTTTATAGATTAGACACTGACCTAGGAAGAAGGGCATGTCAAAAGAATGAAAGAAAAAAGAAAGGAGTGCAATGAGTATAAGCCAGCTGACAAAGTAAAAAGCGGCCTTTAAGGTTTAGAGAGAGGGAGACAGCGAGAAAATAAACATCCTTTTGCTTTAAGTTAAGATGGTTATTCCCACATTTGCTTAATTATCATAAGGATCTCTTAAGATGTTAAAAATATGGAATCCTAGGTTGCTTTTTGCTCTTGGAAATTCAGATATGCTCTGGCAAGGGAACTCAGGAGTCTGTATTATTTTACAATTTCCTGGGGAGATTCTAACAATATTGCGAGTTTGAGAAACATAGAAATGGGTATAAGAGATCTTCTTTCTATCTTCCTTTTCCCAGAAAAGGCACTCTTAGAGAGAATCTATTGAAGATGGAGACCTAGATTCCAGAATGAAATAAAAAGACTTGATTGGGATGTTTTTGTGCAATAATGCAACCAAAAAATTATGAAAATGAATTAATCTTTTTTTCTTTATTGATTAAGGTATTACATATGTGTCTTTATCCCCCCCATTGCCCCCCCCCATCCCCTTACTCATGCCCTCACCCCCCTGGTGTCTGTGTCCATTGGTTAGGCTTATTTGCATGCATACAAGTCCTTTGGAATTAATCTTATATTTAACACATTTTAAGTTACACTTATAACTGTATGCTAAGCTCATTATTCTTTACTTTGCATTTGATTTTTGCAGTAGGGTCATATTTTTATAAGTTTTGAAGGGCTTTATCCAGTTTTCACAAGGCCCTCTCTTAATCCTTCAAAACGAAATTATTTCCTTTACAAGCATTGGTGTAATTATCATTCTTATTGATTTTTCCACCCCTATTTGTTATCTGTGAGATTCTCCTTTATTAGTGACTTTGCATGTAGATCCAGTAATTTACCAACATTACTTTCATCAATTGCATGAACTTTCACATCTTTTGCAAGATTTGTAATATACTTACTTGTATGGTATTTGAGGGCTGGATATTTTTAAATGGATGACTAAGACTTTGATAGAGGTGGGTGTAGGCACTAGGGTTAGTAGATGGAATAGTTTAAGTGGGCAGTAATTTTACAAGTGGTCATTACATCAATGAATATTTCATGTTTTGAAGACTCTTAGTTCTCTAAGAAATCTCCTAATAGAATTTATCAGAATTTATTGGAACATGGGTTAGAAAGACTAAGTATATTTACCTGCATTTGGCTGGGAGGGGGGAAGGTATTAGGGGAGGAGAGAAGAGCACATGTGCAGGGGTGGTCAAGCTATGTGAGTGGGGCAGAGTTTCAGGGAACAGAGATGGACAGATGAGTGCACAAACTGTAAAAAGCAGGCAAGTTCCAGCATGCAACAATATGAAGGGCATTTCTTTTTTTAATTGGTAGGATCATAGGTAAATTTGTGAATAAACTCCTAACTTTGGGTTGAGAACATGTAAATGCCAAAATTGGTAGAAGCCCCGTATCAAGTTAAGAAAATTCCCTTATATTCCCTGCCAAAAGTTTTTTTAAAATCATGAATGAGAGATAATTGATCAAATGCTATTTTTACATTTTTAGTCTGTCATCACATGTTTTTTTCTCTGCTAATATAAAAAAAAAGATGGAAAACCTTGTTAAGTTGTTCTGATGTGGAGTCATTTCACATTCTAGAATTAACTCTACTTTATGGTCACAGTATGTTTTTTAATGTACTAATGAATTAAATATATTAGCATTTTATTTAAAACTTTATCATTTGATATTATAGGTGAATAGACTCTACAACTTTCTTTTTCTTATTTTGTTCTTGTATAATTTGGGTAATACATTTACATGAAATAAGTAGGATAGATCTTCTTTTTTTCCCCCTCAAACTCTCCAAAACAGTTCGCAGAAAACAGGGACTATAGTCTTTGAAGGCATGGTAAATTATCTTATAAAATTATCTGGGTCTTCCATCTTTTTTCAGGAGAAACTTTTGGCTATCAATTCAATTTCGATAGTTGTTGATTTATTCAGATTTTCTATTTCATCTGGAGGTAATATTGGTAATTTACATTTTCTAAAACATCTTGTTTATAACTTATTGCCACAGAGTTTCTCATCTCATCTTACGATATTTTCTATATCTACTGTCTTCATAATGATGGTCCTCTTTTTTGGCTAATATTGTTTATTTGTTGCTTCATTTTATTTTCATTCTACTTGGTTTGTCTACCTTGTTTTTTCAGAAAATCTATTTTTGTTTTGTTAATCATCTCTAATCAATCATTTCTCCTCTTATACTTACTCTGTTTTTCTTGGAATTGCTCTCATGTTCTTTTTTAGCTTCTTAAGCAGAATGCTTATCATTCATTTTTGTTTTATAATTATTTATGGATATAATTCTGCACATTTCACTTTAGCTACATCTCCACAAGTTTTTATTAATATCATTGTCATGTAGTTCTAAGTATTTCATAATTTTCATTGTTTTTTCCTTGACTTACAAGTTTAGAAATGCAATTTTCAGTTTCCAAGAGATTTTGTTTTATCTGTCTTTTTATTGTAAATATCTAATTTAATTGCACTATTGTCAGAGAACTTTGTATATTAGTTCTTCGAAATTCCCAGAGACTCTCTTTGGGGCTTCATTGTGGTCAGTTTTTTGTTTTTAACAAACATTTTTTAGAACATTTTTTATTTTTTTAAATATGTTTTTATTGATTTCAGAGAGGAAAGGAGAGGGAGAGAGAGATAGAAACATCAGTGATGAGAGAGAATCATTAATTAGCTACCTCCTGCAAGCCCCACACTGAGGATGTGCCCTGACAGGGAATCAAACCATGACCTCCTGGTTCATAGGTCAATGCTCAACCACGGAGCCATGCTGGCCGGGTTTTAACAAACTTTTTTTAAAAATTAACATAAGTATAGAAAAATGCACAGCACAGCTGGGTTGGCTTAATGGTTGAGCGTGGACCAATGAACCAAGAGGTCGCAGGTTTGATTCCTGGTCAGGGCACATGCCCAGATTGTGGGCTTGATCTTCAGTGGGGAGTGTGCAGGAGGCAGCCAATTGATGTTTCTCTCTCATCAATATTTCTATCTCTCTATCCTCTCTCGTTCCCTCTCTCTAAAAAAAAAAATCAATGGAAACATATTTTAAAAAAGAGAAAAATGCACAAATCATATATATGTTGTTCAATGAGTTATTACAAAGTGAACATACCCTTGAACTCATATATAGTCATTTTTATAATAGCTCCATCTGAGCTTAAAAAGAATGTATATCCTGTAGTCATTCAGTAGTTTGGATATCTTATATCTTTATTCATCTTTGTCTACTTGATCTATTTCCAATATAATAGTATATTATAATTTCCTGTGCCTTTGTGGGTAGTTAATTTATTGAGCAAGATTAGAATACACAGGATAAATTGAATTGACATGGAAACATGTTAATGCCCAGGCATCTGTGAATTGTTTTTACCATAAAAACAAAGCAACTCATACATAATGGCTGGTTCACTCCATCCATTTAGTGTGCTGTATACAAACCAAGCAAGAAAAAGAGAGAGAGAGAGAGAGAGAGAGAGAGAGAGAGAGAGGAGATTT